AATGAGATTCTTCTAACGAAAGATATTTGAAGTTTAATGATTGGTGAATTTGATGATTCTTCAACTAGTATTAGCAAAAGCTACAAAGTCTGACCGGACATTTAAATCTGGTACCACAGAGTGCATTTAGCTCCTGAAATTCGCTCCAATCTGCTTATTGGTTTTGGCTCTTTGGGGAGATTGGTGGGGGCTGTGATTGAAATCTAAGCAGGTTGAATTGAAAAGCAGGTAGAGTTTAAAATTTAGTTCAGTGTGCGTTTGCACTGCAGGCGTTTGCCGAACACATGACACAGCAGAGTTTTTAGGTCGGCCTCGAACACGACCAAAGTGGAAAAGATGTGCCTTCTATTTGACCAATTGGAACTAGGTAATACTTACAAAATGCTGTAAGACTTAAAATCCATTCGGAGGCAAATTGTCAAAGTTTATATGGAAAAATATGAGGTGCTTTTTCCTTCAGTGTTGAGCGGAAATTGGTATTGGTCGCCTCAAAAATTTTTTAATTGACTCAAGACACTTTGTCGATTTATGAGGTTTTCATGATCAGTTCTATACTAGTTCTAGGTATCAGAATGGACCAGCGTCATATGACGCCCAAGCCAGATACCTAATACGATCGACCATTTAATTTAACGTAACCTCAGTAGAATATATTACACCACAAACATTCTTAATTGAACCTGAAAAGGACTGTCTGCGCAAAGTATGAAACCAATAATATAAACATGACAGCTAAAATCCTTCCCACATCCATATTAAATTATCTTGATATGCCTGAGAGAATAATTATTCGGACGGATTTACTAGAGAATAGCACATAGATCTCTCCTTCAGTAGACGTATTTAATACAAATACTTCTGTGAACTACGTCCAAGCTTGCTTTAAGTTCGTACTGTTTCTAGTTTTCGGCTAGCAATTGTCAAAATGAGTCGGATTCAATTGTATCAAGCTACTTCGTGAATGGCCTTATTTGGGTTCTCGACCTCCCTAGAAACTGCAAAGCCAATGAACTTGCACAACAATACCTACTACGTAATGCAAATAAAGTAGGAATATATTGGAGCTCACTTGGAGTGCCTTTTAACATTGGATCTATGGACTTTTCGTGAGCACTGGTGAAGAAATAACACTGTGCTAGATACATCTCGCTCCGAGTAGAGTAAAAAATCAGTTTTGAATCACTTAATATTAGCAAGTTCTATCTCGCGGCAATTGAAGACAATTTAACCAGACACTTTACAGACAGATAAATTATACGGTAGGCTAGAAAGCTTGTCACACACAAATTATAAGAGTAGGCTTGAAAAAGACGAGAAAAAGCCAAATCGACACTTTCTCGTTGATCGTCCACTTCTCAATAGACCGAGAACGAAATATCTTGGACGTCCTAACTTCGGGGCATCGGATTAATTGCTCCATTCGATATTAGCCGCCTTAAATTTTTTACAGGCTCAAAACGGCAGTCGACCTCTGGTGTGGTGATTCACGCAATCCAACCTTAACTGAATAAGTTTCAGTAAATAACGTTGACTGCTCATGGCAAGAGATGAAGAGATAGTGTAACGTGACAGCAATCAAAATGAAAAATTAGTTTAGAAAAGCAGTAAAAACAGTATAATTAATATAAAAACTATAACTACCTTTTGCACCACCCTGTATGAGATGTATCCATACACCCGTATAGTTGTTTCCTTTTGAATTGAGTGCACATTCTTACACAAATAAATCTCTTGCTGCAGTCATGCCTCGAAATTTAGGGAACAACCTGCCTTTGGGAGCTCCCAATAAAGCGGCGCTCGTTATTGTCTTTTGCTACCAAAATCCAATATGCACACGTACTTGCTTACACACACACAAACACACACACAAACTGTTACGCTTATTTTGTTTGTATAATATTTTTGATTGCAGGCAACAGAGAGTGTTGCAAACAACTGAAATTACTTAAAAAGAAGTGAGGATGCAATTGGCGATCGTCGCAAGCGTTGGCTTATTTTTTGTTAAAAAATATTAAGTTTTTCTATGCATTATTTCCGAAAAATGTTTTGTTTACCTCTCTGATGAATTACCTTTGTCATAAAACCTTCTGAAATACATACATTTTTCACATTTTTTTTTAATATCAAAAAAGGAAATTAATATTTATACTATACTTTGTTACTAGTTATTTTTTCACATTGCAAGAATACGGGAAAAAATCAAAAAATAGAAAAAGTTGGATATTTCAATAACGGATTAAGTGGGGGGTCTCAAAAAATCCAAGTAGAAGTTATTTTCCAAAAGCCTTTTTTTGAGAAATCTTTTTACTTTTGTTCAGTATCTATGGCCTCTTGAAAAGATCCGACGTCCCCGCGTAAAATTTTGTTCAACGATGAAGTCCATTGTCGGCTCAATGGCTCAAACTTGCCATATTTGAGACAAACAGAAGCCTGAAGAGATTTATCAGCCGCGACTTTATCTAGTAAAAATGGTTTGGTCTGGCGACCATTATCGGACTGAAAAATCTCAAGCCTTTTTGCGATTGGTCACAAAAACCATTTAATATCATACCGTTAGACTTTTTCCTGTGAGGATATGTGAAGTCCAAAGCCCATGCAAACAATCCCGCCTCGATTTAGGCCTTGTAGCAAAACATTACGCATATAATTCACCAGTTACAAGTCGAAATGTTCGAGCGAGTCATCGTAAATTGAACTCAATGGTTGGATCATCTGAGACATAACAGCGGAAAACATTTGAAAGATATTATCTTCAGAAAATAAATGGCAAACAATGTTTTTCGAATGATAATAAACATTTCCCATTAACATTGAAGTTGCTGTGTTTTTGCTTTAAAGAAGTAGGAAACCTCAAACTGATTTTTGGCCAGAGCTCGAATAGGATCGCTGCCTATTTGCTTACCTATCTCTGGTTATATATAGGTAGTTAAAGTTTTTAGCATAGGAATCGTATGAAGAATCATTCATTCCAAAAAATTCAATTTTTTCATGAGTGAGAATATAAAAAGTACGGTTCCTTCTAGGAGAAAAATTAGTGTCTGATTGGTACTGTTATGAATTGCATACCATAGCTTAAAGCCTTACCCCTGTATAGTACATTTATAAGTATTTAATCGATCTTCTCTACCAACTTGAGGAATGTGTTGTAGAGAATCGAATAAGTTGGGTACCCTTCAAGTTTAAAAAAGTCTTCAAATGGCTGGTGGATTTCCAGACAAGTCAAAGTCCTGTCAAAGTTTTTCTTCATCAATGACAGCAGTTAGCCAAATAAACCTATCGGCTACAGCAGTCGAGTAAAGTATCTGTTAGGTATAAGAAGAAGATGAAGAATAAAACGTGGAAGACAACAAGCATTTTCGAAAAAAAAAAGCAGACTAATTTCACTGCTTGGCAGCAACAGATGTTGCCCAATAATATTAAATAACAATTTAAGATATTTTCAACCAGCAGTCGTAAACTGAACTTGAGTGCCATATTCTATTGGAATTAAATATAATATGGATTCACGAATGCATCGTGGAAGGGCGTAAATAATCTTGCATTTTGTATCTTGTATTTGCTACTAAGAACAAACTCGACGCAAGCAAACAATTATCAAAGTAGCAGGCGCTTTAAATACGCATTAGGAAATTAAATATCCATTAGAAAAATTTGCATTCAATGATATTTGGGACAGATGTGGTAAGTGGGTGAGCGTAAGAGTGCCAGTGGAGTGAAGAGAAACATCACAAATGTGGCAGACGTCCCAAAGACAGTGTTCCAGCAGCTATGTTTAAATATAGATTTGCTTTTATGTAAAGTTTACACGAAATGCGGGTAACTTGTAGACGATGCCCTGTGCGTGTGGTGAACTGTGTTGAATATTATTGAAATGAATTGATATATTATTCAATGCAAGTCCAAAGGCTATTGTTGCAACAATTTTGGGCCAAATCTCTTCCCATACTCTTCTAAGATACTGCACAGCTTGTTGTTGTCATACGCAGAAAGTGACCTTCAGTTCGTGGGCAATGCAGACGCTTCTGTGTAATGCGAATGACGTGGTCTTTTGCTCTTGTTGCAACTTGAAGTATTTATGTTATATATCTATTTCTGTCTATACATATAAGTGTGAATAATTGGAAATTAGGATGACAAGTCCAGGCACTTAAGCGATTTATAATAGCTTTGTCATTGCCATTGATACATACAAGACAAGAGGACGCACCCACATCACAGATGCTTGGCTAGAACATGCACTCTGCCATCCTTGTGACTCCGCCCACCTTGTATAAACGCATATAATTAGTAACTAGGGTAGTAACCGATAGATCCGAGGGCGATTTTTTGCTCAACATAGTCTTCTCTTAGAGCGATATAGTTGATCTACTGATGCTGTCACTTCATTAACCCAAGTCAGAAACACGTTTTCTGTTGACTTACAACTAGACAATGAAATACTCTAAGTATACAACATTTTTTTTTGCTAAATGGGACAAACTTAATAACTAATTTGGCATAATATATTGGGTGATAATTTTTTTCTCTTCTAGGTAGTTGATTTTGATCACACCCAGAATGAATTCCAAAGATCTGTTACCTTTACATTTCCAGCTTATAAGAAAAATGTCGTTTTCTTGGAAATAGACAATGGAGGTGCTGGATGTAGGTTCTCCAGACAAACTTTCCCATTTCAACTATTTCTTGGTTCTCGTGTGTTCCAAGGATTCATGTTTGGAATACGGTGACAAAATAAGACTGAAACGCCTACAAATTGCGGCCACGGCTGTGTAATGAATTTACGCTTTCGCTCACTGTTTGAAGTATTTAAACGCGGTACCCATCGTACCGACATCCTACTCATGACTAATGCGAGTAAGTGTGAGTCTTAGCAAGATAATTCGTTATATTATTCATAACTGTCAAACACAAGTGTATACTTTGACAGTTTGTTTGACAGACAGACTCTACTAAGAATTTGTATGCCTCCAAAAAGGACACCCTATATTTTTATATTTCTTTTATTGCATAGTTATATTTTTATTTAAACAGTTAAATTTACTGGATTCCAGAACAGCTTGGAAATACCTTAACCACTGCCACCAAATCGATAAAAATTACCTATCCTTCTAGTAGAAAGAGGTCTTTGCATATATTGATATGACACACTATCCGATTGGACATCATCAGATTGCACAGCGTAACCATTATTGTCGGAAACTATAGGTTTTTCTGAGCTTTTCTGATTGGCAGCGTTTATCAAGTTCTCTAAATTATCCAAATCCCTTTGTCCAGGCTCTTTAAGGGACTTGGTGATACCATGACCCATACCAGCGGCTGTGTTACGAATTTCGCCGACAAGCTTCAATGGAGCCAGTTTGCGGAGGAGATTAGTAACTGGAATTGCCGGATCTTCAGCATTATTGTTGAGGTTGTCGGCACAAGAAAAATCTTAAAGGTAATTTTAATTGGGTTATGTAAATTAATACTTGAACTAAATTTAGTGTTACTCACCAATGTAGAAGATAACAATAAAGCTGAAAATGGCAAGCGCTTGCCTTCGGCGACATTTTAAATGTTCGGATTGACGCAGCATTTCACAGACTCAGACTATATGCAACCGCTGTGCTGCAACTGTCAGTCTAGATTAACTGTACTATCATTTTGAATTCCATTTATTGCTAACACTATGATGTACGCTCCATTATTCTGTAACGAATCAAATATGGATATTTTGCTGCGGTGTTATAAAACGATACTGACGAGGTAGAGCGGAAGCAGGAATGCGAGCGCTTTAATAATTGGAACGAATCAACTGTTGCTGTTATTCTTTGATACTTACAAATAGATTTTTAAAATTATACAGGGTTCTCGTGTAGATATGAGTCGCACATAATGATGAATAATCATTACAACTTCATTTATCGAAATAAAATCAGTGTAGCTGAGTATAATGCTTGGATTCGTGAAAGCGTTCTAAATAACTATGTCAGGTCTGAAACTAACTCTATCGATATATTATCGAAAATGTAGAAGTCCGCCCGTAACATATCTTTCAAAATCTATCGATTTTTTTATTATTTGTATCGATATATAGTGTGATGAAAATATATCAATAGTTACATTGTCACGTTGTGGGCAAAAAATAGTAAAGCCACTTTAATTTAAATTTCGAGCAAAAACCCATTCGTCGAAATTTCTTTTTTCTAGATTAGTACGACTGTTAGTGAGACGTGTGCCAAATGTCACATCAAAATACTAGTTAGTGTTTAGTATACGTTAGTCTTTTTGAGTTACATAAAGTGAATTGGGCGATTTTTGCGATGAGTGAAATTATTCAACAAAGAAGTTCCATTAAATTCTGTGAGCGGAATAAAATTTCTGTTGCCGAAAAATTCGGAATGTTGGAAAAGGTCTTCGATGGTGATTCTTTGTGAGTTTTTCGCCAAATTTTCAACCAATACCGTCCCGCTATCACTGTCTTTGACTGATTAGCTCCGTGTAACTTTTGGCTTTCAGCAAACTCAAACAAGTGCGAGTCGGCGAAACCGCTTTGAGTCAATTGAAGACATCAACCGTGAATCGCTACGGCCACTAACGTCTTTATATTCCGGAAATCGACTTCAACAACTGTTTCCAGATTTGGGAAAAACGTTGGCACAAGTGTATTGGAATCAAGAGAATTATTGTGAGGAGGGCGATAGATTTTTGGAGAAAATTTTAAAATTTAAAATTATGAACAAATTCTAACTATTTCCTTCTCCTAGAAGTATAGTTTGTTAATAACCCTCTATATATACATCTTCCAAGTTTTCTCCTTTTAGTTACTAATAACTAGAGGCAGATAGACGTTAGTAACGATGATTTAAGTATGAAGAGAAAGACATGAATGAGACGCTGTATCTGGTAGGCCTCAACGTTTAAGATCTAGGAGTTTCGCAGTACAAAAGTCCATATGATTTATCAAAATTAGTTTTGAAGTCTCTTTCAAACAACTTGACGTCTTATATGATGAACAATTCTGTTCAAATTAAACATAACCTTCATGTAGGAATATAAAGGAATAGTAAGCTTCTTTAAGGTGTGATTGCCAGTAGGTATAAGGTAACCAGTACTGCTATTAACTAAGAAAAAGGCTAAACTGTGAACTAGACATTTTTCTAACGACTCCTAATTTTTCCTATTGGGTGCTCCGTGTCTCTAACAAATAAATTTTACCTTTGTTTGTTTTTCTTTTTTTACCCTTATATTTTTTCCATAGAAGTAGTAATAACAGTGTTTCCACTTTCAAGTCTCTTTTTGTGCTTACTATAAATTATAAGTTATTTAAAAGCTATAAATAATGCAGTGCTGTCACCTCAAGTGCTACAGACTACAGCAAGTACATTCGTAATTTTAATCAGACCCACAATGATGAGCCCAATTGTCTTGTCGATCATAAATGTGCGAAAAGTAACACTACGTCTAATCAATATTCAGTTTGAAGTAATTACACTTCAGATGTTCAAGTTTTTTTTTAACGATTGTCGATGGAATGATTTATTTCCACAAACACTTTTTATACATTTTGCAATAAAGAGCTTCGGTTTGGAGTTAACATAAGGGAAGGAAGAGTAAAAATTATAAATGTATGTAAGTAAAGTTTTCTGCGTGAGTTCTAAATTATTTCTCTACCAGAGAATTTGCTCTAAATGCTTAAAGCCAATTCTACGACTTTGCTTAAGCTGTTTTCCAATAGATGTCTCTAGGGTCAAGCACTGGCCGATTAAATCGATTAAATTGTTTTATATCGATCTTGGACATTTGTGTCAACATTAACCCAACAAAATATTTGTAGAGATCTATTTGCATCCCAAACTTATTTTTAACTGAAAATGTCACTTTTAAAATTTTACACAGGTCTTTGAGACACATTCTATATAGACTTGTACAAAGTATTTTTTCAAAAACAACAATTTGAAAACAAATCGATATTTTCTCTAAAATTTTAAATTTTTTTTTTGGTTTTTTGTAAAACTGTCTGCCAAAAATACAATTTTCAGTTTTTTTTTCGTTTAAATTTTAATTTAGGGCTTTAGCTAAAACACGTATTTTTCACTTATGATGATCTTGTAAGGAGTTATCCTGCCAACACGGGCGCATCTTTTTTCCGAGGGGTCACCGAAAATAATGGCGCAATGGCCGAGTTTAAGATATGTTTTTCAAAAAATTTCAGAATTTTTTTTGCTAAGAGTGTATATTTGTAACAATAAAAAATTATAAAAAAAAATATTAAAATTAAATTTTGAAAAAGCCTGTTTTTTACACGAGAAAACTTTCAAGCATAATTGGGCGGTCAGCACAGGATTTCAATTCTTAAGCGACAGACAGAGAGAGAGAAAAAACCAAAACAGACGACATCTTTATCTATTATTAGAACCTACGATACGATATATAAAAATTATTCGCTTTTCCAAAAGACTACAGTTACTAAATTACTAAATTTACTAAATTAAAACGCGTGTCTGGACACACGCGATCTAACAGTCTTTGGAATATTATTTTTTTCCACTTTCAGTTATTTAGTTCCGTTTCCTTTCCAACTAAACATGCGAAATTTCCGCAAAAGTCTCTGTAGAATATTCAGTATTCAAATCTAACAGCGAACTGTATTCATTTGTTTATGTTCATGTGATCAGAGTGATGTCTTATCTGATTTAGCTAATTGAGGCGAGTGCAATGCAAATGCAAAGCACGCTTTTTGAAGTATCGCTCTGTCTGTATCTTCGAAGAGCGCAGAGACGTCACAACGCTAATTACACCGTACGTCCCACCAAGAAAATGCAAATTCGAGTCGAGTATAACACTATATTTGTTGGTGTTGTAAGAGGTTATCAAATTGTACGAATTGCTGGCTATACATACAGCAACTACACATGTTTATATAAGTTTATGCATAAGTATATTACTAATATTAAGTTCGATTCTGCGGTTTATTGCCGGATGCTAATTGATCTGTGAACACTTGTTATGGCAAATTAGCGTATTTTGTATTAGAGTATAAATATTTTTAGTTTTTGTTTTCGAAATTTTTGGATTTTCCATTTTCTCTTTAAATCATTGGGGAAGCACAAGTTTTGCTATTTGAAAATAGAAAAGCACAAGTTTTCTATTGATGGCGTCACTTGGAATTTACAGTTAACTTAACCGTCTAGCCGAATATATTCAACAAACACTAATTCTAATTTAAATCTCACATTAATTACTTGCTTAATCAAAACTTCCTTATCCATAGTGTCTCTGAATTCTGTGAATTCACTTCACTTCACCTTTGCAATCCGCCACAGGTATTCCCGTTTGAAATTGAATAATATTTCCGATTCAATACTAATTTAATTACAATGCATACCTTAAGTACAATTATTACAACGATAATCGTTGGTGTCTACTATTTAATTAGATGCAAAAAATATTTATTATTTTTTAATTGCGCCTTTGGGGTTAAATTTGTAATTTAATATGCGGTATAACTGAAAGTATGCTATTTCTGCCATTAAAATTACGAAGCTTTTTTCATTTAAGTTATGGATATTAATAATATTTTGGTCATGCAGCAGAAAATACAGTGATATTTGAAGTATATCTGATTTTTTTTTTTCTAAAGGCAATATTGGCCATTTCGCTAATAATCAAATTAAGAAGTCAAAAAAATAATAATCAAAATTCGTTGGTTGAAGGAGTTATTGAAATCCATTTTAATAGTAAGATATATGTACAGATATTTGTTAGAACTAGACAACGATGAAAAATTAAATAAAATTTAAAAAAAAAATTATAATTTGGAGTAGGTGAAACTCATTAGTCGAAAGTACGCATACGTTTAGCACCGATCGATATATTTTTGAAAAGCCGATTTTTTTAAAAAAAAATATGAATGACAGTCCTTGCTCATACCATCAATAGTTCAGGTCTGCCTCAAAAATCATTCCGACGTTATTATAACGAGTGATCCAAGTAGACGCACTTTTTTCAATAGCCTTTTTTGACAGATCACGCGTGAGTCGAGTCAAACTGCCATGTTATTTTTGTTCAGCATTGACAATTTCAAAATGAAAAGAAACGTTTACAAGTCGTTTAACTTTATTTTGAAAATTCACATTCTGTAAATAATGCGATCGCACGTTTCGCACGCTTTGCTAACTCATGGTCACTATTACCCTATCATTCATTATTGGATAATACATATTTGACCACGAAGACCGTGGAGAGTCGATTCGGCACCGATAGCTTATGCAAGTCGCTCGACTTTGCCAAGTGACATCGCTTCTCTCCAAGAAGATGCAAACGTTGCAACATTGCCGCTTTTGAGACGAAGAGCAACCTGAAGAGATTCAAGAGCTGCCATTTCATGCAGAAAAAACAACGATTTGGTGGGGTTTGTGGTCCGGTCGAATCATCGTGCATATTTCTTCAAAAATGATGGCGCTGAGAATGTGAAAATTCGGCAACTTTTGGTTTCAACAGGACGGGGCCACTTCCTACATATCGCATCACTGAATGTATTTATTGAGCGAACAGTTCGGTCAACAGATATTTTCACGCTTTGGGATGATCGTTTGGTGGAGATATGTAAAGTCTAAGGTCTATGTGAACAGTTTCGCGTCGACTAAGAGCTTGGAGCAAAATAGCAGTGGTGTCATTC